TTACAATATAGCTAAGCAACTTTTACTTCAATTTATTACAACAAAACAGTTGAGAAATAGTTTGGTTTGTGTACATACAGATCCCTTGTTGATTACATAAGGTATAATAACTATAAGAATTTTTCGCAACGCATAGGCATAATGTGTTCGACAGTTGAACCCATAATAATATTTACTGAACATTTCTTTAGTTATTATTTTGATCAAAATTTGCAAATTAACCGATTTTACTTGCTTCAAAATTCTACCCGCAAATATGACGAAAATACCCGATTTTTGAGTAAAATACTTGCAAACGGCAATACTGGGTCGGACTGATAAAAGAAAGATGCAATCACATGACGGTCAGCTGTGCTCTAATTGGTTAGCTGAGAAAATCTATATTGCGTCTAGAACACATGTGTTATTGTTTGGAACAATGATTGAATAAATATTTGCGTATATAAAAAAAACTATTAATATAAAAGTACAGTGGCAACAATGAAAGCACGTCAAGCGCATCGTATGTAAAAAAAATTGACACCGTACATTGAAATAAAAACATTTTTTTCATTTATTTTATTCTTTCGAAGTTATTTTTATTGTTTTAATCTACGGTATTTTATATTGTACAAAAAAATTTAGTTGAATTATTTTATTATATTTGATTTCTTGTCCTCTTTTTCGAATTAATCGTTGGTTTTAGAATAGCCTGCGTTTTAAAATCGGTTGATTGCGAGTATCTTTTCACAATCACAATAGATAATGAAAAACATTGTACGGATATATTTCACAGAAGAAATACAAAAACTAAAAATAATACATAAATGTATAACAAAGAGCCAGAAAAAAATTAAAATATGATTATTATAAAAATTAAAAGAATAAGCGCAGAATTATTTATCAAGCATTGCAAAATTATTTTTTTCCAATATTAAACGTGCATTTATGATATTTTGATAGAAAACTTTAATGAAACCCACTTTCATTATGGGCCTAAAAAAATTGTTTTACAGTCTAGTATAACATATATTTTTTTCAAAAAAATAAAAAATGTCGCTCTTCAAAAAATTTTGGTTTTTATATATTTTTTTCAAAAACTACATTTCAAAACGAAGAAAATAGCCACCGATCAAATGAGATTACGATAATTTAAGCAGGAGTTATGAATTTCTGAAAATTACCGTTATTCTTTTGCGATTTTCAAAAATTCATATCTTCGGGGCTTTTGAAAATTAAGGGCTCAAAATTTAGGGTTAGGCGTCTATGGATACGTACAAAAACATATAAAAAATTTAACTGAAAAAAATACAATTTTTAAAATTTGGTGATTTGATATGGAATGACTCATATATATATATAACCCTAAATTTTGAGCCCTTAATTTATATATAGTATACCCAGATAGCACACAATATACATTGGATATCCATCGGATATACCTATATCCACTGAATGTCCAGTCCATGAACGGATATCCAGTGGACATCCATTGGATATACTTTCGGGATATTAGCATAAGGACAATTTGCGTCAAAATTGACTAATAAATATTAGAGACAAATATATTAATACATTATTGACACATGCCTTGATATTTCTAATAATTTACTTTAAAATAAATAAAACTTAAATGGATATCTAATGGATATCCAGTGGATGTCCACATAGATATTAGGTATAACTACATATCTAGAGCCGAGGGGTAAACCACTGATTTTTTTAAATTAAAAATCGCTTACGAATTAACGGCTAAGGATAACAATAACAAGGGTAGTCATGTACAACGCGTCGCTAAGCACTGATTAAGCACCGATTAAGCAAGTTTTCCTTATTGATAACGACTGATAAGGAAAAAAATCTCAACACAACGTCCACTAACATTGAACGTTGTTCTCTAAGATTTTAAAGTGGTTTACCCCTCGTCTAGAGCCAAAGATAAAAAAGGATTGTTTCAGTTAAAATTATTCTAGACGTTTTTTAAGCATTATGTTTATGAGATACAACCTATGAAATTAGAAGTATAATTTAATGTAAGTTTTCATGGATATCTAATGTATATCTAATGGATATCCACTATTTTAGACTACGTCACATGAGACTCTCGAGAATCATTGGCCAGGCCGACGCGCTTGCGTATTGTGCTCCCATGTCTCTGCGCAAACAACAAACACCGTGAAACGTTTATTTTTATGTCTGCCGTTTTAAGATTGTGTGTTTAAGTGTCAGTTTTCGCATCATATTTATTGCTTTTACGGTAGGTAAGTGCCTTTATTTCTTGTTTGGTTGTGTGGTATTGTGGTGTATATATTATAGGTGTCTTTCATATTGCACACACACATTACATTGGGATTTTGGTTTTTATTTGAGGCCTTGTTTATTTACCGGCTTCTGTTAACTATGGCGGGATGTTTTTTATTGCTTTAGCTAATACCTACCTAGGTAAAACTACTAATTTATTAGACATGCATGTGTATTAGATGTCTGCTTGTACAAGTATGTTTACTTTATAAAGTAAACTATTACAATAATTATTATTGTAAATTAGGTAATTTTTTTTCTTTTACAGAAAGAAAAACAATGATATAATGCCTCTACCAGAATAAATTATAATTTAATTAATAAGTTAATAAATAATAATTTTGTTTATAATTATAAATAAAATATTATAAACATATTCATTGATGTTTTTCTATACCTTTCAATCAAAATACAATTAATTCATGTCAAATATATATCTATATAAAATATTTACATATGTACACAATGTGTACCTACTACACATGTGTACAGTGGATTGCCAAATTATTAAAGACAGTAGCAATTTCTTCCAATTTCGAAGTGTGGATATATTTAATGAGAAAAATAATTGACCCTTTTTAAGTTTTTTTATTTTGTATATTTGCTCTTATTGCCTGCTATATTTTTTCAAAATATACAGGGTTATACCCCCTGAAAAATAGGTATTTGAAAATTATTTTTTTTTATTCAATTGGACATCATATATTATATTTTTAGTAAGTAATGTAATGTTTTTTTTAATTAACTAAAATTAAGTACAACATAAGTATAACATTCAAAAAATATAAATAGATGTTCCATTAAAAAAACCTTTTAAAATCGCCATTTTCACAGGGTATAAAATATTATATAATATTTTGAAAAAATATAGTATCAACATGTTGGTACTGCAGCATACATAACAAACTCAACAAGGCTCAGATATTTTTCTCACTACATCCAACAAAAATTTAAAATTGGAATATATCCAATGGATATCCACTGGATATCGGCTAGATATCTATGTGGATATCCATTGGATATTTGCTATATCCTGGATATAGGCGGACATTTGGATATCTATAGGATATCTAATGGTTATCCATGAATATCCAGTGGATATCTTGGATATCCAAAAAGTATATCCAATGGATATCTAATGGATATTTTGTGCTGTCTGGGTACCCTAGGTTTAAAAGATCAAGGGCTATTAGTCTATACAAAAGAAACTCACTCAATAAAACAAATCAACTACAAAATAACTGCTTAAATAAATAGAGTAATTATAGGTTAATCTTCTTTTTCTTTGTTTTTAAATATCTTTTCAATTGCTCAAGTACTTACGTATCCAGAAGTGTATTCACAACAAAAAGGTATCCTAATTTAATTTCTCTAAACTAGACGATCACGTGCTTTGGCCAAAGGTAGTTTTTTGTGGTTTTAATATTCTTTTATAATTATTAACGTGCCCCCCTTCTTACAGAGTATTGTTATACGCGAACAATTGTTATACGCTTAATTTTTTTTTATTATTATCGTTGTGTAGGGACTACACTGTAGGCTTATTTTAACGTATATTGCAATTTAAATAAAATAAATTGTTAAACTTTTTAGTGCAAACTAATTTTAACTAATACATAGATATTGACATCCTGTAGCTAAAACCAACAGTTCAGATCAACTATTGCCATCAATGTGGTCAGTAAGCCCACAATTGAGTAACAAATTGCAGATAAACTTAAACTTCTTAATTTTTGTTACCTTGTGTAATTAAAGAAAATTGATAGTTTTCTATTAAAATATCTTGGTCAAATTTCCACGATATAAAACTCAATTTTTTTACGCGTTAAACTCGCTGTTTTTTTGTATTTTTAATGGAAAAGCATTACCCTGCTTAAAATACCCCATGGAGACCCTGTTCAAACCGATAGATATTTGTTTTGGAATGTATGGTGTTTTTATAGGGTGTATCAGTATGTATAGGACACAGTTGTGATTTATGGTTGTTCTTTAGGGTTATCCACCCTTGATTTATTTGCTATTGGTTTAAATGGGAAAAATACACATAAATGTAGATAGGAAAAATGTAAAAGTTATGGTGTGTCTATGGGTAATTTCCTATAAATTTTGTATCGGGCCGTATTCGGAAAAAACCATGGACAAATGCACATATTGAATCCGGTAGCGCCCGATAGATTATTTTATATAGGTCTCTATGGGGTATTTTAAGAATTGTATACTACTATAAAATTTGATCTGATTTGTTAAATGGACAATCTTAAAGCCCGTATTACAGTCTGCAATTCTACTTTAACCTCAAATAACTTTTAAAAGAGTCGACTATGCAAAAAATCATATCAGATCTTTTTTGTAGATCGTTCAATTCCCTACAATAATATGTATTAATTTCTACAACTCACTGATTCGTTAAAACGCAATAAAGTTCCAAACAAAAAAATGTATTTTTCCCGTGTTATTTAAATGGAAAATAAAAAATCGCGATGAGCCACCTCTTAATATTGATATTAAGAGCTCAAACTTTATCAGAAATTTTTTTTTCGTCATCTTGGACAATATTTTCATGGTAGCTAAAGAAAAGAAAACGAAAAGTTTTTTTTGGCCCACCCTAATATATATATTATATAATATTAAAAGCAATTTTGACCCTTCTACCTCAAAGCTTATTTATAGGAGTGTAAGGGTATAGTAGATGGTTTTTTAAATAGACAAATTCCCCTTACCCATATTTGGAATTTTCTTCAATTTCTAAATCGGCAGCTTTAAGTTGATCTATTAACTGAGCTCTAAAAACATGTTTTAAAGGGACTATAGCTTCCTCTTCCTTTTTGTTGATATCTTCCTGGACCATACGACAAGCTTGGGCAAATGAATAGCCATACCAATTTATTTCATCAGGAGTATACTTAATGCAAGAACAAAAATTATAATTATTACTCTTGTTAATAAAATTGTACTTAAACCTTACAGCTGATAAATAGTTCCTATAACGGTCATGAATTTCTTTTTGTTTATCAGGTTTATTTACATAACTGGGACATCCATTTTGTAAGTCTTGTAATATTTTTCTTTTTAAGCCAAGAGCCAATATTGACTTTAAATCACATGCTGGGGTCTAAAAATATAGAACTTATAACAAAGGTAAACATAAATAAAAATTATTCAAAAAATACCTTTAAAAGATAGTGGTCAAACCCAAAGTGCTCCTGAATTAGATTAATAGTTCTTTCAGTCACTATCACTGAAATATGTTTATCTAAAACCTCACTATACACAACTGATCTTCTTAAATTGGGAACCCAGAAATGAGGAACTCGTCTTTTCTTTTTTCCTCTAACCTGAAAGCCCTGTATGATTCCCTCTCCTCCCCATAAATGGAAATTATGTTCTTTTGGGTACAAAACTGGCAATGGAATATTTTGAATTGGGTGCCTAAAATTTTTTACTCAATACTTTTGATACCTAATCATTTACAGAACTTACACTTCTCCAGTTACATCATCTCTTTTAAAGCTCCCCTGTTCAGGTATAAAATGAACAGCAGTAGGTTCAGTAAGTTTCCATTCTTTATAAAACTTTTTGTATGCTTCTGGTAGAAGAGCTCCTACACCTTTGTCAAATATGCCTGGTTTTTTAAAAAGCCCCAAAGTTTTAATAGCCTGGAAAAATAAAGATTTAAATGTAAAAATATGTATGATATTATTATAATATATTTACCTGAGATGCCATTACATAAAAAAATTAAAATTTTACAAGTTATGAGTTAACCTAGAAATTTGACAAGCCGGTAAAGTAGGTTGATTTAATAATTTAAAATTCTGACAAGTACAATTCTTTTTGGTTACAATATATAGATGGCGCGGTCGAATCAAAATAAATAATGGCACTCTTACTTCGGCAGAGCTGTCAAAGTGTATGAAAAAAGGGCAAAATGGGACAACAATGATGTAAATAACGATTTAAATCAGTTATGAATCAGTGTGCCAAACTTTGTTTAGTTGTTTTTTTTATTTTCACTTGTGGTTATTTTGTACGTTTGTGTTTTGGAATTTGGGAGGGTGAAACCGATGTCGCACCAGATGAAGTTGAATTTTGGCTAAAGCAAAATAATTTATTCAAATATTACCGCTTGTTTAAGGATCGAGGTAAGTTAGGTGTTAAATGTTAAGTAATAATTCATAACGTCAACATTTAAATTCCTTTGCTTCTTGCCTTGGAAGACTATCTTTTATTAATATTATTATTTACAATGTAAATTTTACATTAAATTTTCTTGTTTGTTCTATTGGTATTTGTGGGCAATGTGATAAATTTATCAGGGTTGTTTTTTTGTTGATTTAAAAACAAATCAGATTTTTTTATTAAAGTCGGATTTTTTTAATAGACTTTTTAGAGTTTTAACTTAAAAGTGCCACAATGTAAAAATATATATTTTTGCAAGACTATAGTCTATAGCCAAAGAAACACCTACTTTCTCGCCCCCTTGGAGACGGTAAAATTTAACTTTACCATAGTGTAAAAGGAGATTTTATTAGAAAGGTACCTACATATGTGAGGTACCTATTTTTTTATATACATATACAGGGTGTCCCAAAATATGTGGGTAATCTCCCGGATTTAGATCCCAAATATTTTTTGTGTTTTAATTTTATAGCTACTTTTACCACGAGAGAAACGAGACGAGGCACTCTCGAGAGAAGAGTATTCTCGTCGAGACGAGGACCCATTTTCTCTCCCTGTACGAGACGAGACAAAAGAAGGACTTTTCTTCTTTTCTCGTTTCTCTATCGTAATCAAGTTAGCAATCATAATATGATATTATCTACAATTCAACCCAATACATAGGGTAATGACACCAGTAATTGCCATTATAAGCTAGTGTTTACACAAAAAAGCTAAAAAAGTAGGTACCAGAAGAAATTTAGATGTCATCCTAATAAAAACCCATGGTAGTTAATAGATACTTATAGAAGGTCACTATATTACCAAACATTAAAAATTAAAGACATAACTAAGTACAATATTTTTTTTTTATTGAGGTATAGAGGACTAGTAATTGCCAGGACCATTTTTAAAAAAACCAGTAGTTTCCAGTGTACCTGGCCAGTAATTGCCACTAATTTATTTTATTAAATAAAACAAAAAAATGGAAAATGGCATACCACCTTGGCAAGCAGCCAATGCAGATTCTTTACTTTCTTGGGAATAACGAAAAAAGGGCTTGTTTTTTGGTTCCATGTTGATCAATTTGGATTTTATACCTGGATCAATAATTGCCACTAAAGTGAACCAGTAATTGACACATTCAAAAAGAGTTGGAAATTACTGGATTCTCTTTGAATATAATGTTCTTATTAATGTCAAGTATAAACTAAATATTATAGGTTAGTTTAGAGCTTTAATAAAGGTAATACGATAATCCAAAATTCTCCAGTAGCTAATTACCACAAATGGCAAATATTACGAGACGCTAAATGCCACTGGCGGCTCCTCTTACTGCGCATGATCGCTTAATTGACAAACGTGCCGCGATTCGAAATGTTAAAGGCACGTTAGTTACGTCATAAAACCAAACCAACCCAAACTCAACAACACAACCCAACCGACCCCGCCCCATTGGGCCCCCCCCGCCCCATTGAGCAAAAAACCCAACTAAAATGGGCAAATTTATGTTACGATAAAAATAAAACACTTTTTAACAAAGGAACAACAAATTTATGAAATAAAAAAAGTTCGACAACTTCTAGTAGATTTTATGTTACGATAAAACTAAAACAAACCAACGAACCCAACCCAACCGAACACTGTTTAACAAAGAAACAGCAAATTTATGAAATAAAAAAAATAAAAAAGTTCGACAGCTTCTTTCTTAGTATCGAACCCGGGACCTCTCGCTTGCCAAGCGACCGCCCTACCATCTGAGCTATCTACGTATTATAATTATAACGTAACTAACGTGCCTTTAACATTTTCATTCGCGGCACATTTGTCAATTAAGCGATCATGCGCAGTAAGAGGAGCCGCCAGTGGCATTTAGCGTCTCGTCAAATATTGGGTTAAAAGAAAAAAAATGCTCCAGTAATTGCCACTACTCTAAATCAAAATACTCTTTTAATTTAACGAACAATTTATATGCGTTTCATTTAAACTACTTAGCATATATGCCTATTGCACAAACAAAACTCAAATTGATTAACAACATATGCCAATATCACGAAAAACTAATCTTACACTTTCTTAACCAAAGTCACAAGAAATCTTTTATAAACAGCTGATTCAACAAGTTGCCTGAATATGTTTTTCCTGTCGAAAAATGCGCCACCTGGAGACAGTTGTTCTAAATACATAATACGCTAGATACACTTCCTTACACATACGCAGTGCGCCATATGCACAGATATTGCATATAGCTTTGTTTTTGAATTTCTAAATAATAAATGGCAACTACTGGTACAGTGGCAATTACTGGTGCCTTTACCTATATAGGGTGATCCATTGAAAAAACTTTTTGTTTTTTTCTGTATACCTACTGATAAATTTTCCAATTTTCTTTATACGTAGAAAAAAAGTATTTTTTAGTACCTACATAACCACACTTTTAAATTTTTTGGGACACAAAAAATAAAAAAGTTAAAGGGGAGCGACATTATAGGGGATCACCCTGTACACAATGTGTTTTATTGTCAATAAATTATTTATCTAAATACTGTTGTCAAAGTCATCATCCTCATCGGAACTATCGTCTTCGAGGAGGATGATTGGTTCCGAAACTTTTATTTTTATTATTTCCTACAAAAATACTTCAATATATTAAATTTTCTTTATTTTACGTATTATAACAATTAAATGAAAATTTATTCCAAAACAACAAAAAACAGAACGTTATACAAAGCGAAAATTAAAATACAAAAATATGCAACAATTTTGATATTTTGATTTTGATATATATATATATAAATCCGGCTTCAGTGGCCATCTAACTTTTTTGTCTTATGTATGTTGACCTATAATTAGGAGAAATGAGGGGTATAGAATCAAAACCAGAAATCTAAACTAAATTTTTCAGGACACACATTTTTTTTACCCTTTCTAGTAATTTATTTTTATTTTGAATCCGTCGATAGCATAAGCTACAAAGCCGAGACAAACTGCGTCCGTCGGTACGGGGTTCGATCCTCGGTCACAGCCTTGGGTGTTGTGCGTGTCAAATGTCGGTATTATATCTATAGATGCGTCCAACTGTACCATGTTAAAAAGTGGTTGCAGGGGTGATTTATCGAGGACCCTGGTTCGGATTCTTCTTTAAACAGTAGGTCCCGCGGAAGGACCGAACCTTATAGGCTTTGCCTATAAGCTGGATAGGTCGATAGCGTTACTAATCTAATTAACTATTTTTATTTGACTTTAAAATGAAAAAACCTAATAATTTTAATATTAGTAAAGTAATTAGCAATTTAAGTTTGGAAATTACCAGCTTTGCTTCAAACACTTGAAGATTGCCGCTTTTGGTAAAAAAATATATGTACCTACGTAAAGGCACCTTTTTGTTTAATATTTGTATTTAAAAAAGAAACATTTTTAATACAAAGAAGGTTTTAATATAAGGGTTCATTCAAGTATTACGTAACGCTCGAGGGGGGTTAAGAATGAACGTTACGATTTGTTACTGTGGGGGAGGGGTGTTGCATCATGGGGGAGGGGGGCTAAGCGAAATGTTACGGTTTGTAATGAGGGGGTCTAAAAGAGACAAAAAATGCGTTACGTAATCCCTTAATGATCCCTAACCTAAAATAAAAAAGTAATAAATTGTTAACGTAATATTTAGAAGTATTATACAGTTCGTGTAATATTACAAAATATGTTTTTGTTTTACAAATAAAGTAATCAGTGCTTAACTTTACAGTAACTGCTGTTAAAGTTAAAGCAATAGGTACAAACTAAATTTAAAATTAAATTTTCTCAGTGTATTCAATTTTAAAACAGATTGCAATGCATTTGATTGGTCGAAATGAAGATTGCCGGGTTTGCTACACTCGGAGCTATTATTAACATTAAATTTAGATATATAAATTATTATTATTAAAATATTTTGTGGCGTTGTAGATATGAACATACCTATTTTACAAATAACCCAATTTATCCAAAAAGTGGAGATGGCTGGTTTTGATTCTATACCCCTCAAATTTATTAGTGAACTTCTTACTGAATAAGTATGGTAGGTATATTTTAATTCCTTATTTTAAAAAAAATTAAATTCATATTACATTATAGACCAGGCGGAGAAAGCACATAATGGGTTTGTTCCTACCGAGCATTTGGAGTCAAATTGACGTCAGGGACATGCGCAATAGTAAAATCGCGAGCAGACGTCATTTAAACGTCAGCGTCAGTGTGCTACCTGGGAAATTATAAAAAATATTTACATCGTTTTAGAAAGTGGGATGGAAGCCTTCAAAAATAACGTAACTGAAAAAGTTAAAACCAATATTTACAAGTGGCTGCGCCGATGCAACGAAAGAAAACCAAATTAAGATACTGTTTTAATATGTATTTTATTACAGAACATGCATGGCAATTATTTTTATTTGTATTACAGGTAATAAATGTTAAATTGGTCATTTTTTACGATTTTTTATTTGACCTACCCGCTTCAGTGAGTAAGTACGCATTATGTACGTCCATTGCTTACATTACATGTAAGTACGTCCGTTGGTAACGTCTAATGGACGTCCAAAACTGTGAGAAAGTAACCTTTAATGTACGTCCTCAAGTACATAACTTAACG